GTATTTGTCTTTTAAATTATATCGTAAGTGACTCANAATACATCTATAATAAAATATATTTTTTAATTTATTATTATTTAAAGGCTTAGTATTTACAATTTTTAATAATTTTTTAACATTAATAAACAAAATTATGAATTTTTACCATAAAAAAATGTAATATTATCTTATTATGAAATATTTCTAAAATAAGTGTGATTAATTAAAGGAATTATAATCACATTTTGTTTACAAGTATTTGTCTTTTAAATTATATCATAAGTGACTCAATTTTTTTATACTCTTTTGATATGTAATAATAGATAATACTTTAAAAATACTCATGTGTTTAATATCATATGGAATTTTATTGATGTTTTGTATTATATGTGAACTCTAAAGAAAGGGTATAGATTAAAATTAAAAATTATACATCTTGTTCTATATTTAGAGATATCCGCGAAATATCTATATATTTTATTAATTTTTATATACAGATAATGTGTATTCGATATGTTTGATTCTCCCTACCTTTTTTTTTTTTTAATTTTTGTTTATTAACACTCAATTAAAACATACAGATGATGTGTATTTGATTTGATTGATGTTGGAGGATTCGGTAAAAATTGACGAGAATTTGTTGAAAAAGTCTGTTTCGCGGGTGAATTTAGATACTAGTGTGTACGAGACCTCTAATCAGGTTTCCTTGACCNACGAAAAATTTGGAGGATTTGGTAAAAATTGGCGAGAATTTGTTGAAAAAGTCTGTTTCACGGATGAATTTAGATATTAGTGTGTACGAGACCTCTAATCAGGTTTCCTTGACCAATGAGCATGCTCTAATCAAGTACAACACTACTCTCACACCCTTTTCTTAGTTTTTTTTTTTAAATTTTAGAATAGTATTATATTTATTTCAACTAAATTATATTTGATTGAACTTTGTAGATTGGCAGATATACTCTCCGAGGAGAAGCATATCCGAGAGTGTAGATCATCAATCGGACATTCTCCAAAGTTAGATCAATCCTGAATAATTCAAATCAAGCTCATGAAATTTAGAGCTGGAGAGACCTGATTATTAGCCTCGCAATTCATTATTAATTAATTAATATGAATAAATCCTGAGTTTGCCAATGTAGTAATGTAACTAATTTTCATATTGTATGTAATTTAATAGGTGGTTAATTGATATTCACATTATAATTTTCTTGTATAAGTAAAATTTGGAGCACCAATTCATCAACCGATGAAGGCGGTTACAGTGACCCATTACCCAACATGAATGGTTGTATCTAAAATTTCAAATTTGTACTTAAATAGTAAAATTGATGACGGCGTACTGAAAAAAAAAATATACGCACTTTTAATATTTGAAGTACGAAAGAAATATTACAATGATCCCTTAAATATCAATTCTGTTGATTATATTCACAAAGTTGCTAACAAAAAATCTTATGTATGCTACATGCACCTCACAAAAAAATATCACGTGCCACTCAATTTAAATGATGTGTTTTGTTTGGACTAAATAAACATAATTAGTAGTTGAAGGATCAAAGTAACATTTATCAGATACTTTAAAGACCAAAACTATAGTTAGTCAAAGTAATGTTTCGTGACATTCCTTGTTACAATGGGAGGACTCTTTATTAAACGATAAGAGAAATCCACATAGGAAACATACACTATAGATGCTAGATATGAAAGAGGAGTCAATGCCTTCTTTCTTTTCTTTTTTTTGCCATTTTTTATTTGTGAATTGTTAATGAACTTACCTCATTCGTCGATATTATGTGATATAATATTTCTCTCATATATATGAGTTTTATTATAAGATGTCGAACCTATGAATCTATTCATTATGGATATCAAAAAAAAAAA